AAACTGGAAATACTACTTGCTTGCATAATCAGGCATCGCTGATGAGAGCTCCTGGCTCATTATTTTACAACATTCTGCCTCCTTATATATTTCCTTTCTTGAAACCTATTATGTATCTAGGGATTGAGTGAGGTTAGACTAAGACTTGGTCATCCTCAAGGTAATTTACTCTATTTTGATTCTTAAAAAAACACACCAATGTTTATCTTTTGATGGACCCAGCAGTTCACCCAACTTTCTTAAACCAATGTTTAAGAATGTTCACAGAATGAACAACTTGAAAATGCCCTTAATCTTTCACTGATCTTCTCAATGTCTTGTATATCAATTCAAAATTAGCATGGATCCCATCTATCACTCCGTGATTCTCTCCTCAGTTTTCATTGTTCTCAGCAACTCCAGCAGTCCCCCCTACCTGACAGAAAGGAGCACACTCTGCCACAATGACATGGAACTTCCTCTTCCGCGCAGCCTCTTTGAGGAAGGCCTCTACTGTTCGGGAGAAGCCAATGGTCATGATCACCTCGTTAGAGTGGATGTGCTCCAGAGCCTGGGCTGCAATGTTCTCCGTTGTCCCTTCTGCAAAAACAGCCAGTTTTACAAGGAAAATATGAAACTGTCATGACATGACAGAGCACCAAAGGGGACGTGTGCCCATCACACAGACTGCCCGCCTAGCTGATGTTGGTAACATGGGGTTTACAAACTTAATATGAAATGTCACATTTTCTTAAAAACCCTGCTCCTCTGAGCTCTTCTGTCTCCCAAGTTCTCAGCCTGCCCTCCTTTTCAGCAGTGCCCCCTCATCATCAACTTAGCGCCCTGCCCTGGCAGGACACCAGCTCCCTTACAACTGATTTTGAAGACAATGACTTCAGGCAAGAAATGATCCATTCTGGGATATCCTACAGCGAGCACTGAGCATGGGGTAAACCGAACTTCCCCTTAAAAAAAATCCTCCCAGCCGAAACCGGTTTGGCTCAGTGGATAGAGCGTCGGCCTGCGGACTGAAAGGTCCCAGGTTCGATTCCGGTCAAGGGCATGTACCTTGGTTGCGGGCACATCCCCAGTAGGAGATGTGCAGGAGGCAGCTGATCGATGTTTCTCTCTCATCGATGTTTCTAACTCTCTATCTCTCTCCCTTCCTCTCTGTAAAAAATCAATAAAATATATATATATATTAAAAAAATCCTCCCAAAGGTGGCCACAACACCTCCATCTGAGAGGGAGGCCACAGAAGAAAAATAAGGGAGGAATTTGGAAGCAGCAGCTCAGCGCACAGACAGACCCGGCTTCTTCCTCCCCTGAAGAACTCTGATTGTAGTAAGTACCTGCAGTCTCCTGGTTCACAAAGACAAGGGGAATGGAGGTGGTCTGAGTGGGTATAAAAATCAAGAGGAAGTTTAGTGATGGAGGGTCTACTAACTATGGTTTTAGAGAGTTCATCTTCTTTAAAATGAAAATAAAGCGTCCTGGCTGGTTTTTCTCAGTGGTTGAGCACTGGCCTGAGGACTGAAGGGTTGTGGGTTCGATTCCTGTCAAGGGCACGTACCTTGGTTGCAGGCTTGTGCCCCATGCAGGAGGCAACCAACCAATCGATGTGTCTCTCTCATCTCGATGTTTTTCACTCTGTCTCTCCCCCTCCCTTCCACTCTCTCTAAAAATCAATGGAAAAAATATCCTCAGGTGAGGATTAACAAAAATAATAATAAAGCCCTGTCCTAGTGGAGTCTCTGCCACGGTGGATTTGCAACCTACAAAGGCTTGGTCTGGAAGGAAATGTAGAGTGGCTTACCTTAGTCCTACCACCTGTTCCAACCCCCCCTCATCAGGATGGAGGGGAAACCTCTGGAAACCAGAATACTAGCTATCGCCCATCTCTGCCGATGAGCAACTCCGAGGGCCTTCTGTTGTCCCTTCATTTTTCTGCAGCCTGTCCCGCCCACCTGGGGATCAGGACTCTTACCCAGTTCCACAAGCAGCTCATTAATCGCCTCAATGATGTTGGACTGGAGCTGGGCATAAGGAGAGCTGAAATCCTCGCTTAGGCCCCCGGACGTCAAGAGTTTGTGCAGGGACTCCTGCTGGTCGCTCTCGTCGCTGCGTCCGTGGAGTCTACGGAGGCACCAAGAGCACAGAAGCAGGTGAGAAGGCGGTGAGATGTGTAACCAGACCTGTTCAGCTCCGATAAAGGCTCCCAGGGGCTCGTGCCAACAGCGTCCCTGGACCCAAGCCCGAGCCCAGGACGGGGCCTGACCTGCCGTACTCCTCCCGGATGATCCTGAGCACTCTCCGCACCATGTTGCCCACGGTGGTCTCTGAGGGCTGCGCGGCCGTCATCCTCCGGCCCTCTCTGCGGATCAGCTCCATCAGCTCCCCTGGAGTCCAAGGCAGGAAGGGTGAGCAGAGCAAGTGCTCGGGGCGGCCTGGGCCACTCTCCGCCGGGAATGGAGAACGGAGAGCGGGGAGGGACGCCGGGGAGCGAGGCCGGCCTTACCTGCGTTGCTCCAGCGGTGGTCCATGATGATCCGGCGCAGCAGCCCCAGCGTCTCCCGAGCCATGTCCTCGGAGCTGCGCCGCCCGCCGCCCCGCTTCAGGGCCTCCACGAAACTCTCAATCCTCTCGGACAACTCCGAGGCCTTGTCCGCGGCTCCTGGCATCTTGAAAGAAGCCGCCGACACCGCGGAATCCCCACCTGCACGACCTCCGAGTTTGCACTTCCGGGACGGACCAGGTCGGCTTCCGCTCCGCCAGGAAACTCCAGTTGTGTACACGTCAGGCCACGCCCCTAGCTGTCTGAGCCAATCAGAGACGCGGAACTCCAGTTTCGTTACAGCCAAGGATCTGCAAGCCTCTGGACCAGAGAAGCGCAACTGGCCTTTGCTGGACCCTCCGACGCGACAGAGGTGATTCGAGAGTCCTCCGGAGCGTGACCTGTTCTGTTGCTATGGGAACAGCCTGCGGCCTTCTTTCCCGATCCCCTAGCTCCGGTGACTGCCCCATCTCCTGATACAGATGCTCAGATGCGCGTCCAGGGCCCACAGCCCGTGGGCAGACCCCCCTTTATAATGCCGTGTTTGCGCCTGTGCCTCTCCAATAGATTCAGCTTCCCGGGCAGGGATCGTATCTTTTTTGCCTTTGCATTCCCAACGCCTAGCACACCTAATATAAGACAGAGATCAGAAATGAGGAGACCCATACCCACCAAAATAAGGAGATTCAAAGTGGGAGCCAATGTGGGAGCAAAAATGATGCCCTTCCATTTGGACAGACTACAGAGGCTGGACAGTATAGTATAATACAATACCAAGAGCTACCATTTACTTAAAGCTTACAGATGTTGGGCAGTATGTGTGAATTGTCTCATCTAATGCAACTCTGTGAGGTATGTCCTCTTATTCTTATTTTACAGGTTAGGAAACAGAGCCACTGAATGTAAGCAGCTGGTAAGGAAATGCATTTATATTTAAACCCAGGGCCATCTGATTATTTCCTTAAGATAAATTCTTAGAAGTGGAATCCTCGGGCACATAAGACTTGTTACAATGGACAAATTGCCTTCCAAAAAGATATATCAATACCAAAATCAGACGATAGTTCAAGAAAACCACAGACTAGTATCCCTCATAAACAGCAGATGCAAAAATCTGCAACAAATTATTAGCAAACCAAATCCAGCAATACATGAAAAGATTAATACATAATTGCCAAGGAGAATTAAAATCTAGAATGCAAAGCTGTTTCAATATTTGAAAATCAATCCATTTAATAAACCATATGAACAATCTAAAAAGTTGAACCACATGATCATATCAATTGATGCAAGAAACATTTGACAAAATTAAACAGCCATTTAATTTAAGAAGAAAACAGTTCTCACAAAACTTGGAATAGAAGGGAACTTCTTCAACTTGATAAAGGGCATCTACAAAATTCTACAGCTAACAACATACTTTATGTGAAAACCTGCTCTCTCCCTAAGATCAGGAACAAGGCAAGAATGTTTACTCTCACCATTTCTATTAAACTCATACTTAAAGTCCTAGCCATTGCAATAAGGAAAGGAAAAATTTTAAAATATACAGAGTGGGGAAAAAAAGAGAGAAAACTATCCTTGCTCACAGAAGACATCATCTACATAGAAAATCCCAAAGAATCAATAACAAAAATAAACTACTAGAACTAATAAGTGAATTTAGCTTGGGTTGTTTCCAATCTTTTTTAAGGGTAGGTGAATATAAGCATACACACACACACACACACACACACACACACACACACACACACATATCTCCCCAGTGGAACAGATGAGTCATAACTATGTGAATGTTCACCTTTACAAATAGTGCTAGTCTTCCAAAGTGGTTAAATCAATGTACGCTCGCTCTCTGGCAGGCCTTAAAGAGTTCCAGATCTACATCCTTACCAACACTTAATATTATCAACTATTTTAGTTTTGGAGAATCATGTGGATGTAAAAGACTGTCTCACTGTGATCTTAATCTGTTTTCCTAATTACTAAGAGTTCTTTACCTTTTCACATGTTTATCAGCCAAGTGTTTTTCTCCTGTGTGAATATGTTTATGTGTTTTGCCTACTTTCTTTTGGCTTTAAAAATATATATTTTTAATATATTCATAGAAGTTCTTTATTCTTTTTCAGTTATTTGTCTTATAAATATCTTCTCTCAGTTTATGCTTGTTTTTTGTTTGTTTTGCTTTGGTTTTAATATGGTCAAATGTATCAATCTTGTCTTTCAAAGTTAATATTTTATTATAATTAATGCCTTTTGTGTTTTATTTTAAAAATCCTTTTCTAATCCAAAGACATAAAGATAATCTAAATATTTCTTCTAAATATTTTAAAATTTTGCCTTTACACATAATTAGGAATTATTTTCTATGTAGGGTGAGAGGTGGGAATCCAATTTGCTTTTCTTTTTTCATTCTTTCTTCAGTGATTTATATATATTTCAGAGAGGAAGAGAGAGGGAATGAGAGACAGAAACATCAATGATGGATGAGAGAGAATTTTTGATTGGCTGCCTCCAACACACCCCCTGCTGGGGATCAAGCCTGCAACCCTGTCATGTGCCCTGACTAAATCAATATGAGAGACACATGAATTGGTTGCCTCTGCAGACACCCGCCCCAACTGAGGCCAAGGAGCAAACCTGCAACCCAAGTATGTGCCCTTGACTGGGAATTGGACCCAAGACTCTTTGGTGCTAAGGCAGACACTCTAACCACGGAGCACACCAGCCAGGGTAACTCAGTAAAATTTTATAATTTCCTTTATGTAGATCTTGCACATCTTGTTTGAGTTATTCCTATGCACCTTACATACTTTTTGCCATTGTAAGTGATTATCATTGTTTTCATCATTGCCAAATTGATAGAGAAAAACATTTTTTAATTAGTTTAAATTTGCATTTCTCATTAATTATTAATCATGATAAACATTTTTTCATGTTTATTTACCATTTGTATTTCTTCTTATGTGATATATGGTAGACATTCTTTTTCTTTTTTTAATATATTTTATTGATTTTTCACAGAGAGGAAGGGAGAGGGATAGAGAGTTAGAAACATCGATCAGCTAGCTGCCTCCTGCACACCTCCTACTAGGGATGTGCCTGCAACCAAGGTACATGCCCTTGACCGGAATCGAACCTGGGACCTTTCAGTCCGCAGGCCAACGCCCTATCCACTGAGCCAAACCGGTTAGGGCGGTAGACATTCTTATTGCCCACCCAATACCCTTTTCTTTCTTCCTTATTAAAAGAACTGATTTTGTTTATTTTTTACTCAGAGGGTAAGTGGTTTTAGCTTATGGGCAGATCCTGGTTCCGTACTTTCACTCATTTTCTAGTTAGTGGGGTATGACTGTGGTTCACTTAGGACTTTCTGGAGAGGTTTCCTCTTGTGGGAGGGGGGTGACATGGGGGGGTGACATGGGGGGGCAAACAAACAGAGCCCGGCCGGTGTGGTTTAGTGGTTGAGCATCAACCCAGGTTCCAAGAGGTCGCTGGTTCGATTCCCAGTCAGGCCATATGCCTGGGTTTCGTGTTTGACTTCTGGTAGGGGGCACGCAGGAGGCAGTCGATCTATGTCTCATTGAGGTTTCTATCTCTTTCCCTCTCCCTTCCTCTCTCCATAAAATATATGTTAAAAAAGAACAAAGAAAAAACAGAGAAGACTGCTTAGTCTCTTCTATCTCTGGCTTTATTGGATGTGATGCCTAGAGTTACTGCAGCTGTTACAACTTAGATGAACATCAAGGAAATTATGCTGAGTGAGAAATATCACTCTCAAAAGTATAAACACTACATAATTCCATTAATGTGACATTCATGAAATGGCATAATTATAGAGATAAAGAATAGATTAGTGGTTGTCAGGGTTTAGGGATGGGTGGTGGCATGTGATGGGTGTCAGTATAAAGTAGTCACACAAAGAATAGTACAGTTGTACCAATGTCATTATCTGTTTTGGTATTGTACTATAGTTGTGTAAGATGTTACCATTGGAGGAGGCAGGGGGAAGGGAGCATGGGACTTTGGTGTATATTCCTTTCAACCTCCTGTTAATCTACAATTATTTCAAAATAAATAGCTAAACAAGAACTTCATAAACCAGGATTTATAAAATAAAAGCATCTATTAAAATTTATAAAGTATTACATTCTATTACTCTAGCTATAATTGTTAAATGACTCAGTGCTAGCATAGGTAATAAAAGAGACTGTTTAAAGTCTGCAATTTTTCAAAGTAGGATGCAAAAATAATATATTTGGTGGAATCTCAGCTTCATTTAAAAATATATATGTTATTCATATGTATTTTTATATATAAATATATACACACATATGCTCACATGTGCTTATACATACACCTATATATACACACACATAGTATACCATAACTATATCTATATACTGTATTTACATATATCTCTATCTCTAGGTAGTGTGATTAGAGGGTTTTTAGAGACCCCTAATTGCCTCAAAAGTAATTCTTCTATAGTAACAGAGTTTTAACTGGGCACATAGCCACCCAGAAGAAAGACATTTCCAGTCTTCCTAGCAGGTAGAGGTGGTCACATGACTATGTTCTAACCAATGGGATGGGATGGAAGCGTGTTGCTGATTCTGAGAACCTTCCCTAGGAAATAGCTGGCATGAGTTCTTGGCCTTTTTATCCCTTTCTCTTTGCTCTGCCAGCTTAGATGACGAGGACGCAGGCCACACTGCAGGGAGAGCAGAGCAGGGAGCGGGAAGGGGTAGAACTGCTCCTCCTGAGGCCCCTGTGGAGTAGAACTCCCATACTCCCCTGGACGTTTGGACTTCATGTAGCTGCAAGCAAAATAAACACAAGTCTTGTTTAAGCCACTGTTTCCTTGGGGTTTCAATCACTTGCATTCACACTGAATCCTAGCAAATACAAGAGTTATTTTTATTTGTGTACTGTTCTGTGTTTTCCAAAATTTCTACAATAATCACGTCCCATTTCTTTTTTTTTTCCGATGCAAAAGCATAAGAGTCTTTATTCGAGCTAGCTCGGCTCCCCCACCTCGCCGACACAGCGGCAGGAAGCAGAGAGAGAGAGAACTCTGTGTGGAGAGAGGTTTTATAGGGGGGTTGGAGTAAAGGGTCACGTCCCATTTCTTAACAGAAAGAAAAGTTATTTGTAAGAAAAATAAATCTTTCATCAGGCCCATTCTCTCAACCAGGAGTGTGATTTTGTTGATTTTCCCAACGTGTCCCAACTTCATAATTATCAAATCATAGTTTCCAAACGTAATTCGGAGAATGAGGTGATGATGATGATAATTCTCAACTGGTGGAAGGAAGACCGATGAAAATATTTGTGTTGTTCTCCTCCTGTTCTAAAGAATCTCCTTTAAGGCCATCGGATCACTTCCTTTTCCTGAAGGGCTTTGACTTAACACTTAGGCATGTGAATGCACTACTGTTTTTATCCTTCTCTGATTGTTTTGGTGGATAAGTCATGTCTCTACGCAACCTGAGAACAAGTGCTATTGTGGTGGACACCTGTTGTTTTTGTCTGTCTTGAACATTCCCTTTCCTTTGGGAACTGCCCCTCTCATCTCATGACATTCAGGTGGAACTGTCAATCCCAGAGCCTCCTGATGCCCAAGT